TTCTCCCAGGGGATCCTGCCCATCAGTTCCCTGAGGGAGTCAAAGTCTGCTTTTCTGAAGTCCAGGGTCCGTATTCTGCTGCTCTCCTTTCTTCCTTGTGTCAGGATCCTGAACTCGACCATCTCATGGTCACTGCCTCCCAGGTTCCCATCCACTTTTGCTTCCCCTACTAATTCTTCCCTGTTTGTGAGCAGCAGGTCAAGAAAAGCTCTGCCCCTAGTTGGTTCCTCCAGCACTTGCACCAGGAAATTGTCCCCTACACTTTCCAAAAACTTCCTGGATTGTCTGTGCACCGCTGTATTGCTCTCCCAGCAGATATCAGGGTGATTAAAGTCTCCCATGAGAACCAGGGCCTGCGATCTAGCAACTTCTGCTAGTTGCCAGAAGAAAGCCTCGTCCACCTCATCGCCCTGGTCTGGTGGTCTATAGCAGACTCCGACCACGACATCACCCTTGTTGCTCACACTTCTCAACTTTATCCAGAGACTCTCAGGTTTTTCTGCAGTTTCATACCGGAGCTCTGAGCAGTCATATTCCTCTCTTACATACAACGCAACTCCCCCACCTTTTCTGCCCTGCCTGTCCTTCCTGAACAGTTTATATCCATCCATGATAGTACTCCAGTCATGTGGAATGCGTTACCTAGGGAGGTGGTGGAATCTCCTTCCTTAGAGGTTTTTAAGGCCCGGCTTGGGAAAGCCCTGGCTGGGATGATTTAGTTGGGAATTGGTCCTGCTTTGAGCAGGGGGTTGGACTAGATGGCCTCCTGAGGTCCCTTCCAACCCTGATATTCTATGATTCTAAGGGAAATCATGTCTTAGTAATCTATTAGAGTTCTCTGAAGGGGTCAACAAACATGTGGACAAGGGGGATCCAGTGGACATAGTGTACTTAGATTTCCAGAAAGCCTTTGACAAGGTCCCTCACCGAAGTGTTAGGTATAAGAAGTATAAACTGTTTAATATGTTCAATTAGTTGTTTAATAAGGTGTTTATAATATGGAGCATATGAACTATTGACCCTTGGACTCCATCTCTGAAAGCGGACTTGTTTACCATTAAGACACCGGCTCAAATCAGTCAAAACCAGTTTTTCCCGCCAAAACCAGCCCTCAGCATTCCATCTCCTCAGAACTTTTCCCGCCACAAAAGCTTTATAAGGACTTGTTCAGCACCTGCACAGGGCTGTCCACCCCAGTGACAGCACATACACGGTTGGGTCTTCACAGTGCTCCAGAGCTGAAGAGTGAAGAATACCATCTGTCCCACAGTGAGGTTGAGGAAAAGGAGGCCTGTCATCACCATTCCTGCCACACCTTACCATCTTACCAGTGGAGGGTCCTGCATTCCTAGTGTCCATCATCCCAGAGGGTCTCCTTGCCAGCGATGAAATCCAACAGTCGTCTGGACTCCCCAGTGCTCCTCCTCGAAGGCTCTAAATCAGCCAGAGTGGAAGGTCCTGGGCATCACACCTGTACGTGGTATCCACTGCACCTGAACAGTAAGAAAGGTTTCTGTGTTGGGGCATCATTTATTGTTTTCCAGTTTCCAAGGGAGGGTTCATGGGCCTGAGCTTTAAGCTCCCAAAGCCAGTCACTGTTTCATTGTATTAATTAAGTTTGCATTTTCCCCTATTTCTCCCAGTTTTCTGTACCTTTACCCTGAATACACTTACCTTTGTTTGTACCAAATCACCTTGTCTCCTCTTTATTTTATTTACACCACACAAGGAGGGAGGCTAAATCCATTGGTGATAGATACAGGAGGGAGTCGAGTTTGTATATTCTAAGAAAAGGGGCTTTCCTTTCCTATTTCTCCCCTACCATTTCTAAAGTTTTCCTTTGAAGCGTTGCCTTATTCCCCTTGAGGTAACAGAAGGCTCTTACATAAATTAAGTTGTCATGGGATAAGAGGGAAGATCCTTTCATGGACTGAGAACTGGTTAAAAGACAGGGAACAAAGGGTAGGAATAAATGGTAAATTTTCAGAATGGAGAGGGGTAACTAGTGGTGTTCCCCAAGGGTCAGTCCTAGGACCAATCCTATTCAACTTATTTATGAATGATCTGGAGAAAGGGGTAAACAGTGAGGTGGCAAAGTTTGCAGACGATACTAAACTGCTCAAGATAGTTAAGACCAAAGCAGACTGTGAAGAACTTCAAAAAGATCTCACAAAACTAAGTGATTTGCCATTTTGTTGCCCAATGAAATTTAATGTGGATAAATGTAAAGTAATACACATCGGAAAAAATAACCCCAACTATACATACAATATGATGGGGGCTAATTTAGCTACAACTAATCAGGAAAGAGATCTTGGAGTCATTGTGGATAGTTCTCTGAAGACATCCACGCAGTGTGCAGCGGCTGTCATAAAAGTAAACAGGATGTTACGAATCATTAAAAAAGGGATCGAGAATAAGACGGAGAATCTTATATAAATCCATGGTACGCAATGGTCTCCTCATCTCAAGAAAGCTATACTGGTATTAGAAAAGGTTCAGAGGGCAACTAAAATGATTAGGGGTTTGGAATGGGTCCCATATGAGGAAATTAAAGAGGCTAGTACTTTTCAGCTTGGAAAAGAGGAGACTCAGGGGGGATATGCTAGAGGTATATAAAATCATGAGTGGTGTGGAGTAAGTGAATAAGGAGAAGTTATTTACTCGTTCCCATAATATAAGAACTAGGGGCCACCAAATGAAATTAATGGTCAGCAGGTTTAAAACAAATAAAAGGAAGTTCTTCACAAAGCGCACAGTCAACTTGTGGAACTCCTTGCCTGAGGAGGTTGTGAAGGCTAGGCCTATCACAGGGTTTAAAAGAGAACTGGATAAATTCATGGTGGTGAAGTCCATTAATAGCTATTAGCCAGGCTAGGTAAGGAATGGTGACCCTAGCCTCTGTCTGCCAGAGGGTGACCCTAGCCTCTGTCTGCCAGAGGGTGGAGATGGATGGCAGGAGAGAGATCACGTGATCATTACCCTCTGGGACACCTGGCATTGGCCACTGTCGGCAGACAGGATACTGGGGGGAGCTGCACTGTGATCTCCACTGGCCTGTGCTCCCTAATGCGACGCTGCAGCCGCTACATTTATTTGAGAAATAAAACTTGTGGAATTTTGCGAAGTTTGACAACACTCCGCACAGAATGTTTAGGTTTTTGGCACATTATGCGCTGGGGAGTCAAAGTTCACAGCCCCACCCCCGCCCCCTGCCCACTCTCCCCTCAGCGCTGCCCGCGGGCGCTTGGAGCAGCAGCGCGGCACAGGAGTCCGGTTTGGGCGCGGGACCGGACCCCCAACGGACTCCCGCCCCTTTCTTCGATCAGCCTTTAGCCCCGCCCTTGCCTCCATCCGCGACCATAGCGGCTGACCAATAGCCTGACTGTGGCGGACGGCCCCGGGCTGGCCTCTCTATCCGCCCCGGAGGCTGAGCTCTATCACCCTGGGCGCCGCCGGAAGCCGCTCTCCATGGTCTCAGGCAGGCCACTCTGTACATCGGGAGGTTTCTCACTGCTCGAGTGAGGGCGCCGGTTGCTCGGCAGCGGTGGGATGGGCCGGGGCCGGGGCCGGAGCGGGAGGGGGCGGCGCGCGGCGCGGGACGAGGCGGTGAGTGAGCGCCGGGATCGCGCGGCCTTGGCCCGCCCGGCGGCGCTGCGGGTTAGCTCCGGCCCGGTTCGGGCAGCCCGGGTGCCGCGAGCCCATCACCGCCCTGCCCGCCCCGTATCCCCGCGCGGCCGGGGAACTGCCCCGAGCTCCGCCTCGCGCGGGGGGCGGCTCCCGGCGGAGGGTTTCCCCAGGATGCCGATCCGCCCCCAGCATTTCATGACAAGGCACCTGGCTCTGCTGGGCACAGGTGGGGCGCGGACTGTCTCACCCCTTCCGGGTGTCCCCAGGCAGCGCGTCTCCGCGTGAGGCCACCGCCTCTTGCTGGTGGCCGCGCTGACAATTTTCCCTAAAATTCTTAATTAACTTTAGGAAAAACAAATAAAACAAGAACGGCCGAACTGGGTCAGAGCAAAGGTCCATCTAGCCCAGTATCCTGTCTTCCGATAGTGGCCAATGCCAGGTGCCCCAGAGGGAGTGAACCTAACAGGCAATGATCAAGTGATCTCTCTCCTGCCGTCCATCTCCACCCTCTGACAGACAGAGGCTAGGGACACCATTCCTTACCCATCCTGGCTAATAGCCATTAATAGACTTAAATATGCATATATGTGTCCAAATATTCTAATTTATTCATGAAGGGTTTTTTTGCAGACTCGATAATAAAAATAATGTACAATTGTGTCTATTCTTTACTGGACCTAAAGAAAATAGATACACAAATAAGATATTTTGCATATTCTTGTCTTTTGTTGTTTCTTTTGCTTTTTGGTTGCTTTTTAAAAAAGACTTGCTAGCTAGTAAGTTTCACAGCGGACTGATATCAACAAATATATAAATATAAATTTTCACAGCAGACTTACTCAGCCTTGCAACCCAGGGGACAAATTAAACCCTGGATGGGGAAGTGAGCATGGAGACAGCAGGGTCCAGGGGTAATGGGAGGCTGGATGGGAGCCGGGGGGTGGGGGGGGGCAGGGGCGATGTGTGTGTGTGTGTGGGGGGGGCAGGGCCAGAGCCGGCGCCTGTGTGGCCAGGGCCCTGAGGCCAGAGTCCCAGGGCCGGGACAGACAGTGGGGGTCAGGGGCGATGAGTGTGTGTGGGGTGAGCTCAGGGCTAGAACCCTAAGTTCCACGACCGGAGCCTGCTGCCTGCCACCCCAGGGCTGAAGCCCGAAGCCCAAGCTTCACCATCCCCAGGAAGGTGGGGAACTCACTGGCTGCTTGCTTCTCTGGCATTTGTGGCTCCAGGTGGGGAGGTGGCCCTGGGGGAGGATCCACTGCTTTGCCCTGCCCCCCCAGTCACTGCCCAGGAGGCTGTGGGTGCAAAAAAATCTCCTGGTGGCCGCATTTGAGAAACGGTGAGCTAGGGTATAGCACCCATTGCCATTGGGGAAAGCAGTATTTCAGATATTGAGGGTTAAGTTAAGAACTCTGTCTCAGCTTGGAAGTAAATTGTTGCTCCAAAGAGAGTGAAATGTGCATGTGCAACATGACTTACTTCTGAGGAAATTTTGCGCCACTACTCGTGCAGAATTCATGTCCCTGGCAGATTTCTTTGCTTCTCCACAGAAGAAAGACTTCAGTCAGGAAGCAAAGAGAAGCCACAAGAGTGGTCACATGCCCCTCCCGCGCAACATGGGCATCTTGGTTTTGGTACCTGGAGCAGCTGGCAGAGATGTAAATCACAGCAGGGCTGAGCATGGAAGTGCTTGCTATTGCAGTGTGCCTGGAGCTGAGGAGGGGCAGGGCTGGGGATGCCCGAGCAGGTCCAGCTGCTAGTCCTGGCTGGGGAAGGACAGGACTACTTCTTCCCTTGCATGGGCTGCTCCTGGGGCCAGGTCAGAGCTGCTCCCAGAAATCTCCCCTGGCTGCAGGAAGCTCCATACACCCCCTGCTTCCTGCCCTCATTGCTCCCCAGCTGCAGGGGAGGAGTCACTGTATGCGGAGCTACCCCCCTCCATGCATCTGGACCCCCCGTGCTGGGCCCCAACCATCTTCACCTGGACCCCCGCAGAGTCTCATTCCCCCTGCACCCAGAACTCCCCAACAAGCCCCTGTGCATCCAGATCCTCCCCCACACGGACCTCATACTAAGCCCCTCCACACTTTGATACTGCTGGGCTGAGCCTACTTGCCCCCACCTGGATTGGAGGGCAGGGCTGGGTGTGCCTGTGAGACTCTGTCCCTCTTGCTCACTGTTGTGATGCCCCTGGCACAGAGAGGCAGGGCCCTGAGGTCTTTCTGTTTCATTGATGGAGCCCGGGCTCTAGGACTCTGCAGGGTGGGAGGGTACCAGAGTTCCAGCTTTAGTCCAAGCCCAGAGGTCTGCACATTGCAGTTACATTTCAGTGTATGGTATATAGAGCAGTATAAACAAGTCATTGTATGAAATTGTAGTTTGTACTGAGTTTGCTAGTGCTTTTTATGTAGCCTGTTATAAAATTAGGCAACTATCTAGATGAGTTAATATACCCCCTGGAAGACCTCTGTGTATCCCCAGGGGTACGCGTACCCCTGGTTGAGAACCATTGGCCTGTGGCAACAGTCAGGAGGAAGCAGTGGGGATGAGGTGGGGCCTATTGAGGCACTTTGTGCTGCCTGGGGTAGAGGCCTCTGCAGAGAGGAGGCTGGCTTCTCCTTAGCTGCTAAATCACATTATAAATATTATATATTTTCCTAGTGTAACTTCAGTGATGATGGGAGTGTTCTGCCATCATGGGGTGGGGCAAGAGCGGTAGGTGCAGGATCCTGAACAAGGTCCTGACTCCCTTTCTAGTACAGCTTTGCAGTCTTTACAGAAGAAGAGAGGAACTCTCTCTGCCTCTGATGCCTATGGCATAGGGTTACACTGCGGCACAAAGAGTTCATGCATCAGATTTGGACTGCATATTGGGCCACTGATGCTCTAGTCTCCTGACCTCACATACGCCGTTGGTGAGTCCCCATGACTGGTATGGTGGATGGCGATAGTGTATCTATGGGTACAGCAGAAGTGTGTAGTCTGTCAGTGCCCTAGCCCTGCTGCCGGGCAGCGTGTTTCACTTGGACATTGAGGAAACTCACTGGGCCTGTGAGTCTCCAAGGGATGGATTAACTTGGTTTCTAAAGGAGGAAAGGGCCTGCGCTACCCTGTTTAGATCCAGCTGTTTCCTTATGGCTACTCCTAGGTAGACATCAGCGGACAGAATGTGAGTGAGCAGTCCTTCTCCTTGTTCCCTGTTCAGATTCAGGGCACTAACGATAGCAGTATTGTCAGTAAATGCTCCACCGCTGCTCTTGGCTACATCCAGGATGGCTTCCTACAGTACTTCGTTACCAAGAGATGCAGACGAGCGCCGCTGATTCATTGGTGAGGAATGGGCTTTGGTTTGTTTGGTTCTTGTTTCTTGGTTCAGTAGGAGGGGCTACTGTTACTTAGTGGGAGGGGGGATTGCTGTGATTGATTTTATTTTGTGGGTAGAGCTTCCATTGTTCTGTACTGTCAGTAAATCATAGCCTGACCTTCAGTCTTGGTCATTCTTTTTCTTAGTAATGGAAATGCACTGTCATGATTGAGCAGAAAGCTATGCTCAATGTTGAGGTAATTTTTCGGAGTGTTCTAAGATCCACGTGCACAGTGAGATTGTCCTAAACATTACTGTGCAATAACAGGGGCACAAGTATACTTTAGGGTGCAATTTTAGTGTCATTTGGTAATGGAGTTCCTGAATTATAGGCTCCCCCCAAAGATAGGTTTTAAAATTTTCAGATGGTGTAACAGGGTTCCACTCACTGCAGGTGCACCTCCTTATGGCTGGGTTTGGGAATAAGCCCTTGCTCCCATTTCACACCCCTTTCTATTGGTTGCTTGTGCTGTGGCCTCTCTCTCCGGGACTCAGGGTGCTCCTTCTTCATGACTCGTCCCTTTGGCCGAGTCACTGTATAGTCCTCCAGTTCTGAGGTAACAAAATCCCACCGGACAAGCTGTCCTTGTGCTGTTTCAGGCAATCTTCTGTTTCAACTCCAGTTTGTTTGCCACTTTTGCAGTGGCTGGTAGGGGAACCTGGGCCCATCTGCTATTGTGGTCTAGCCCAGGGACCCTGTAACTAGCAACCTAGGTCTGCTAATTCTCAGACCCTGTTGCTGTTTCCCTGGGCTCTTTCCTGCTCCACCTCTTTATCTCTTTGCATATCTATGGGTTTACCACTGGAGCTTCTACCCCTCTCTGTGGCTACTTCACCTTCTTAACCACTTGTCAAATTCCCTAGTCCAGGGCAGGATCCAAGGCTTATCCTGTCTCTGCATTTACTCCTTGACCTTGGCCAACTCTCTTTTTCTCTAGTGAGTGACTGCAGAAGTCATCCTGCCTCCCCCTCCTTCTCTCACTTCCTGGCCATCCCTGCTCCTTCTCTCAGCTGGGCTTCATCTGCCATTAGACCTTATCAGTGTCTGGTTCCCCTGCAGCATATAAGGTTAATTGGCCCTTTCTGGCACACAATTAAACTTTTTTTCCACAGGTCTAGGGAAGAAGGCTATTAACTTTCATAAAATCTATGTCACTGGATTGTCCCAGTTTAGAAATATTTCAAAACTTACTGTTCTATAAAACGTTAGCACCACTGCTTACAGGTAGTTTCATTAGTAGCTCTTTGGCGATTTACTCATTTGAATCCTTAGGGGAACAGACATTGCTCCTTAAATCAAAGGATGAAGAGTTCAAATCCTCCTCCAGGGAGATTTGCGTGCTATGCATGTTAGTGCTCTCAGTCTGTCTTTTGCCTGGTGTAGTAGAGGCTTATGTGGGAGGGTCTAGCTGTCAAGGTGAAAATGACACCAGAGAGGATGGCATGGGAGTCCTGGTCAGGATGAATCAGTTCTGTGCCAGAAGAGGCCCATTGATTTCCAGCATTAGGCACAATTGACTGGGTCTGTGCTGGGAGCTGGGAATAGGCATGCTTGGTGCAGGCCACAGGCACGTAATGCTGAGACTAGAAGATGGGGGAGGAGAACACCAGTGGTAATGAATGGGCCATTTCACTTCAGAGGACATCCTGGGCATACTTCCCCACCGCTCAGCTACCAGCTCTGCCCTCCTGGACCCTCCATGTCCTCAGTAGGCCTGGAGTGGCCTTGGGAAGGAAGGACAGTGGTAGCTGCTGGGCTGTGAAAAGCACATTTACCAACTGGAGGCAGCAAAGGGGAAAGGAAGCAAGATCCAGACTGCCTACTCCACTTCAGGGGCTAGAGTAGCGGGAATGGGCTATGCATGCTCTTCTGCAGCACAGGGGAATCACAGAGGTGTGAAGTAGAGGAGGAGGGAATAAGGCCTTTTGGGAAAGGAATGGGTTCTGAAGGAAAGGAGTGAGGTTCCCACCAGCTGGGGAGTGTGGTGTTTTTGAGTGAAAGGGGAAATCTGGATACCACAGTTGGATTTTATTTCCTAGGGGTTACTATGTCCGGGCCCGAGCTGTGGATCATTGTGTGCGAGAGTTTCTGCGACAGAGTCAAGGCCACCCCAGGAGACAGGTGAATTCTCTGGGGGAGGAGTGCAGGGGCTGAGCTCCCATTGTGGGTCTGGGAAGACCTCTGTGGTGTCTGTGATCTGCATTAGTGTGGCATATCCTCTATGATCCCTTCCCAGGAAGGCACAGATGGGTATATAAGACTGGCACCATTAGTTGCCCACTTTAGTTCTTTGAGCCTGGGCAGAGTAGACAAAATCATTGGGAGGGGGCACTGTCTGTGTACATGTTCCTACTACTGGGGCTTTGCCATGCCAGGCTAATGCCCCATGGATGTTGGCACCTACATACTCTGGTGCTTTGTGCCCTGCAAATACCCAGGCTGCTGCTGGAGTTAAATAACATTTCTCTCTCTTTCCCCCCCTCTCCCCCCGCAGATCCTTTCTTTTGGTGCTGGCTTTGACTCCCTGTATTTCCGCCTCAAGGCTGTGGGTCTTCTGAGTTGCACTGTGGTGTATGAGGTAGATTTCCCAAGTGTAGCAAGCCGAAAAGCTGCTCTGATCAAGGGTACGAAGGACCTGGCCATGGTCGTGGGAGGAGTTGCAGGGAGAGAATCAGGTATGACGTTTCTGGCTGCAGCAGGCTAGCCAGAGTGCAACTTACCTGTCATCAGATGCAGAGGCAGAGTATATAGGTGGAGTGTGCACAAGGGATACTGGGAATACACTGGTTGTAAGTTTGCTGGGCCTTTTGCAGACCATTCTTGACATTGTCCCTCTGTGGTCTATTAGTGATGGGAGTCTGTGCCACGGGTTTTCCCAGTCTCCTGCCCAGTGTTCCTTCTAATTTTTCCCACATATGTGTGGAATGAATTTTGTTATGTGCACCAGTATGGAGGTGATGTGTCACACATCACCTCCATATTGGTGCACATAACAAAATTCATTTGGCGGGGGTGGGGCCAAGGGGTTTGGAGTGTGGGAGGGGGCTCAGGGCTGGGGCAGAGGGTTAGGGTGCGGGGGGGTGAGGACTCCGGCTGGGGGTGCAGGCTCTGAGCTGGGGCCGAGGATGAGGGGCTCAGGGCTGGGGCAGAGGATTGGGATGGGAGTGTGTGGGCTCTGGGGTGGGGCCAGGGATGAGGGATTTGGGGTGCAGGCTGCCCTGGGGCTACAGTGGGGAGAGAGGACTCCCCCCAGCTCTCTTTCCCCACAGCAGCACCTGGGCTGCGGGGGGAGAGGCCCCGGCAGGGCAGGGGCAGGGATTGGGGCTGAGCGCCTGCATGGCACTTAATAGGCTGCTGTGCAGCTGCGCAGCTTAGAGGGAACTTAGCTCCTGCCCCCACATGCTGTCAGTGGGGGTGGGGACACTGTTGAGAGTGGGTTGTCTTGTGGGGGTGTACCTGTCACTCCTGCTGCTGCCAGCATATCAGCAAGAGGTTAGTGTTGTAATGAGGGTGTCTGGATTGTTTTCCCCCAGGAGCCATGAGCTTTGCTGTGGAGGATTATAAATTGCTGGGAGTGGATTTATCTGAGCTGTCTAAGCTGGAACAAGCCCTAAAGGAGGCAGGCCTGGACCCTGAGGTTCCCACCATGCTTTTAGCAGAAGTGGTGCTCACTTACATGGAGATCAGCAGGTTGGTTGGCTCACTGTCTTCCCTGTTAGCTAGGTGCCTAAGTGGGTGCAGTGAGGACAGTATTAGTATGTGGAGAGGGTCTGAGAGAGGGAAGTCTGATCCTGGAGACCTGTATCTAGACCCTTTTGGCTGTTCCCTGGGTGAATTGTGGAAGCCACTGGTAGCTACTTAGTTAGAGCTGCCATGGGGTAAATCCCTTCGTTAAGTTGGTAATGTGCAGAACTACATCTCAAATGGGAATAGCTCTGGATCCTGGCAGCTCCTCGAGCCCTCTGGGCAGCTGGGGGAGGGCTCTTGCAGCTTCCCAGCACCAGAGGCTTCTCTGCTCAGCACACTTCCCTCCAAACAGAAGAACCACCTCCAGTGGCACCCTCTGTGGATCTGCAGGAAGGATCCTGGTGCCTGCTCCCATCCCTGCTGGGGCCACAGCCTTCTCAATTTCTCTCCTCTGCCTATGGCTTTGACAGGTCGGATGCTTTGATCCAGTGGGCAGCTCAGCATTTCCCCTGTGCACAGTTTGTGGTCTATGAGCAGATGCACCCCGAGGACCCCTTTGGTCGCATCATGCAGCAGCACTTCAGCCGGCTGAATTCTGTGCTGCATGCCCTGGCCCAGTATCCCGATTGTGAGGCGCAGAGGAGACGCTTTCTCCAGCGGGTAGGTGGTTATGCTCCTGGAGCAGGTGTGGGGTCTGAGCCATCTGGGAAAGAGCATAACTTCAGAAGGCAGGGATGTTCCCACTGGGCTTTGGTGTGGGTTGGTCAGAACCAGGCTAGGCATAAGAGGCACTACCCTCTCCAGCAGCCACATGGCCTCCTCTCCCCATGCCCAGTCTCTTAGAGCACCTTCCCTTGTCTGACAGCTCTCTCCATGCAGGAGCTAGTACACTGCTCATTGTAGTGAAGCTGCATCCTTCAGAGGGTCCCACAAGTTCAGGACCTATTAGCTGGGGTGCAATGAGTGTTGACTCTGAGCTAGTCACAGCAACATGCTCAGGATGTGAATCCTGCAGCCAGGAGGTATGCCCCCACCATGGGGACTGAGCTGTCCATGTTCGGGCCAGCCAATTGTGTGGGAATCTGACCAGCACTGCCAGTTTGACTATGTTTTAGGGTTGGGAGCAGGTTGGGAGCCTGTCACTGGGGGAGTGAAGCCCCTGCTGTGAAGGAGTGGAGTGGGTTATGCTCTGTCCCTGAGGGAATGTGGGTCTCTGTTTTAGGGCTGGGCCAAGTGCAGCGTCCTTGATATGAATGAGTTCTACGCCAGCTTTATCCCCGAAGATGAGCGACGGAGAGTGCAGGCTCTGGAGCCCTTTGATGAATATGAGGTAACTTTACCCCCTTTCTTTCTTATGCCAGGGGCCTGGTTCTAAGGGGCTGTGCACTGTAGCTTCCCTTATGGTCATGAGGCTGGTTGCGCAGGTGCTGCTGGGGATATAGGTGTTACTAGGTAGACAGAAGAGGCCCTGGGAATCTGAGACCCAGTTAACATGGAGCCCGCTGGGAAGCTTCCCATGAAGCTGGGGCAGGCAGCAGATGTTCTGGCCTTTTAATATATGTTTCAGTGACTGCCTGCCTCCTGCTCCCACAGCTGGCTGCACAGGCCCCATCCCATGGGCAGAGTCAGACCCCGTTCCCTAAACTTCCCAGAAGTCAGTGCAGGCCCCAGTGCTGTAGCTTACTTCCTGAGTGGGCCTCTGCCCTCGCTTCAGTCTCCAAGTGGGCTCAAGACCAGACCTGAGGTAAAGTGTCTGGATTATAGCAGTGTGGTCCCTGCACCAGAGACAGGGAAAAGGAGAGCTTTCCTGGTGCATTGTTGGCTACTTTGATATCATTTTTAATAGGGTCTGGGAATCGAACAGGTTAACCTTATCTCCATCTGCTGTGGGCCTGCAGCCCTTCCCCTACATCCCTCACCCCCCCGCCCCCCACTGCTGCAAAGATCTGAGTTTCTCTTTTCTGGCTTGCTGCAGGAATGGCACCTGAAATGTTCACATTACTTTATCCTGGCTGCATCGAAGGGGGAAGAGCTTACCTGGACTCCTCTATTCTCCAAGATGCCAGGTAAATATGAACTGACTCTCATTGGCACAGGCCTCTGAAAAGATCCAGGGATATAGCCTTTCTCTAGAAAGAGCACATGAGATTCTGCCATCTGAGCAGACCTCTCCACCCTTCCTGCTAATGATGACTTTGCAATCTGTAGCTGTCATAAATAGAGAGAAGGGTAGCATAAAATCTCTCTTTGGCAGCTGTACTAAATCGCTTTACCTGTAAGGGGTTAAGAAGCTCAAATAAACCTAGTTGGCACCTGACCAGAAGGACCAATAAGGAAAGAAGATACTTTCAAATGGGGGGGGGGGGAAAGAGATTTGTTTGTGGCTCTCTTTGTTTGTTCCCTCTCCGAATGGAGGGAGAGACCAAGCAGGTACAACATCTCCTGAAAATATACCTAGAATGATCCATCTAAAATCACAGAAATTGTAAGTAGGCAAGGAAATGCGTTAGGTTATCTTTTGTTTTAGCTTGCGAATTTTCCTATGCTACAAAGGTAGTTTTATTCTTGTTTTTGTAACTGTGAAGCTGAGTCCAGAGGTGAGTCCTCTGTGTTTTAAATCATTTTATTACCATTCTGATTTTGCAGGTGTGATTCTTTTACTTTTTTCTTGATAATAAAGTTCTTCTTTTAAGAACCTGATTGATTTTAGTGTCCTGAAGATAAAGGGTCTGGTCTGTACTCAGATTGCAAAGACAATTAGTTGGTATATTATTCTCAAGCCTCCCCAGGAAAGGGGGTAAAGGGGCTTGGGGGGATAGGGATTCCATGTGACCCTTCCCTGAATTTTTGTGCAATTCACTTGGTGGTGGAAGCAATACTGTCCAAGGACAAGGAAAGGAATTTGTGCCTTGGGGAAGTTTTTAACCTAAACTGGTAGAATATAAGCTTAGGGGGTCTTTCATGCGGGTCCCACATCTGTACCCCAGAGTTCAGAGTGCATTGGGAAACCCGACAGTAGCACTGAGGTCAGCATTGTACCCTGCGATGTTGGTGTCCTGGCTCAGTGGGACTGAGTGGTGAGAGCTTTTCATTCCTTCAGGTTGTTGCACTCTTCTAGTTTTGAATTATTCTGGATGGTGGCTGCAACTCCTCCCTCCCACCCACTGCTCATTTGTGGCATTCTCTAGACTCTGTCTCTCTGATTTCCTCACTCCTGCCTCCCCACAAGGCCCTTGTCAGGGTTCCTTCCCCACTCTGAACTCTGGGGTACAGGTATGGGGACCCGCATGAAAAAACTCCTAAGCTTATTTTTACCAGTTTAGGTTAAAAACTTTTCCAAGGCACAAACTCCACCTTGTCCTTGAACAGTATGCTGCCACCACCAAGCGATTTAGACAAAGAATCATGGAACGTTGGAGTCCTATTTCCCCAAAATATTCCCCCAAGCCCTACACCCCCTTTCCCGGGGAAGGCTTGAGAATAATATCCTCACCAGTTGGTACAGGTGAACACAGACCCAAACCCTAGCTTAAGAACAATGAAAAATCAATCAGGTTCTTAAAAGAAGAATTAATTTAAAGATAAAAGAATCCCCTCTGTAAAATCAGGATGGAAGATAACTTTACAGGGTAACAAAAGATTCAAAACAGAGGATTTCCCCTCTAGGCAAAACTTTAAAATTACAAAAAAACCCAGGAATAAACCTTCCTCTTAGCACAGGGAAAATTCACAAACTAAAACAAAAGATACTGTAACGCATTTCCTTGCTATTACTTACATTTAATATTACCGAAATAGTATCATTTCAGTGGGAGCTGGATTACTTGCTTGGTCTCTCCCTTTGTCTCCGGAGAGAACACCCACACAGCACAAAACAAAGCCGCCTTCCCTCCCCCTTCTCCCCACCCCAGATTTGAAAGTACCTTCTTTCCCCATTGGTCCTTCTGGTCAGGTGCCAACAAGCTTATCTGAGCTTCTTAACCCTTTACAGGTAAGGAGGAATTTTATGTTACCCTTAGCTGTATGTTTATGACACGTCCTCCAAATCACAGATGGTGCTGGACAGCCTGCTCCACACTGGCTGTGATTTCTTCCCGGAGCTCTAGGAGAAAACAGAATTAATAAGACACAGGCACCTCTAGATATACTACTGAATATAGAAAACCTAACAATATTTTCCACATTTCAAGGATGATTTTAACCAGTTGATTCTGGGAAACTTTCACTGGAGAGTGCATCAGCTACTTTGTTAGAAGCTCCTGAAATGTGTTGTATTTCAAAATCAAAATCTTGGAGAGCTAAACTCCATCAAAGAATTTTTTTGTTATTGTCCTTGACGGTATGAAGCCACTTCAGCGCAGCATGGTTGGTTTGCAGGTGGAAATGCCGTCCCCAAACGTATGGGTGTAGCTTTTCCAAAGCATACACAATGGCGTAACGTATCAGAGGGGTAGCCGTGTTAGTCTGAATCTGTAAAAAGCAACAGAGGGTCCTGTGGCACCTTTAAGACTAACAGAAGTATTGAATGCCCACTTCATCAGACGCAAGTGTCTGATGAAGTGGGCATTCACCCACGAAAGCTTATGCTCCAATACTTCTGTTAGTCTTAAAGGTGCCACAGGACCCTCTGTTACAATGGCGTAACATTCCTTTTAGCTGATTGGCCAGTGGCTTTCCCTCTCAGACAGTTATTTGCTGAGAAACACGACAGGATGGAATTCTTGATCCGGTCCTTTCTGCATTAAAACTGCTCCCACACCATGCTCGGACACATCTGTGGTTACTAGGAAAGGTTTGTCAAAGTCTAGGGCCCTTAGCACAGGGTTAGACATGAGTGTTGTTTTAAGCTGGTTAAAGGCCTTCTGACACTCTTCAGTCCACTGAACTGCATTTGGCTGTTTCTTTTTGGCTAGGTCTGTCAGTGGGGTGGCGATTTGGCTGTAGTGCGGTACAAATCGCCTGTAATATCCGGCCAAGCCTAAGAAGGATTGGACCTGTTTCTTTGTCTTTGGGACAGGCCACTTTTGAATAGCATCCACTTTGGCCTGTAGGGGGTTGATAGTTCCTTGACCCACCTGGTTTCCAAGGTAAGTCACTCTGTTTAGGCCTATTTGACGCTTTTTAGCCTTAACAGTTAGTCCTGCCTCCCTTATGCGCTCGAAGACTTTTTGCAGATGCTCCAGGTGTTCTGCCCATGAATCAGAAAAAATGGCCACATCATCAAGGTAGGCGACTGCAGATTCTCCCAATCCCGCTACGAGACCATCTACAAGTTTCTGGAAGGTGGTGGGTGCATTTCGTAGCCTGAAGGGGAGCACATTAAATTCATACAGCCCTGCATGGGTGATGAAGGCTGACCTTTCCTTGGTGGGTTCATCTAGCGGTACTTCCCAGTACTCCTTGGTTAAGTCTAAGGTAGAGATGACCTGGGCACGTCCCAGTTTGTCCAATAGCTCATCTGTGCGTGGCATTGGATAGTTGTCTGGGTGAGTTACAGCATTTCGCTTACGGTAGTCCACGCAAAAGCGTATCTCCCCATGTGGTTTGGGAACTAGAACCACTGGAGATGCCCATGCACTGTTAGAGGGGTGGATTACACCCGCATGTCCTGGATCTCCCGTTCTATAGCAGTTTTGGCTTGAGGAGACACCCGGTAAGGTTGAGCTCTAATTGGGCGAGCATTACCTGTGTCAATGGAGTGGTATGTCCATTCGGTCCGTCCTGGGGTGGCTGAGAACATCGGCGAGAAGCTAGTGTACAGCTCCTTGAGCTGCTGTCGCTGCATACGTCCAAGGGTCATGGAAAGGTTCACCTCTTCCACGCCACCGTCACTTTTCCCTTCGTAGTAGACACCTTCACGCCACTCAGCGTCATCTCCTCCCTGGGCTGTAAACTGGAAAACCTTTAATTCTCTGGAATAAAAGGGCTTTAGAGAATTAACATGGTATACCTTAGGCTTTAGGTTTGAAGTGGGGGATGCTATGAGATGATTAGCAGCTCCCAGGCGCTCTTGGACCATGAATGGCCCTTCCCACGACGCTTCCATCTTATGGGCTTGGAGCGCCTTCAAGACCATGACTTGGTCCCCTACTTTGAAGGAACGCTCTCTGGCATGTTTATCATGCCAGGCTTTTTGCTCTTCCTGAGCATCTTTTAAGTTTTCTCTAGCAAGAGTTAAGGAGTTTCGGAGGGTGGTTTGTAGGTTGCTTACAAAGTCTAGAATGTTAGTTCCTGGAGAAGGCATAAACCCCTCCCATTGCTGCTTCACCATCTGTAATGGCCCCTTAACCTCTAGGCCATACACAAGTTCATATGGTAAAAACTCTAAACTGGGATGTGGTACAGCCCTGTAGGCAAAGAGCAACTGCTGCAACACTAGGTCCCAATCATTGGAGTGCTCATTTACGAATTTACGTATCATGGCTGCCAAAGTTCCATTAAACTTCTCCACCAGGCCATTTGTTTGATGGTGGTAAGGGGTGGCAACCAAGTGGTTCACCCCATGAGCTTCCCACAGGCTTTTCATGGTCTCTGCCAGGAAATTAGTTCCCGAATCTGTAAGGATGTTGGAGGGCCAACCTACCCTGGCAAAAATGTCTGTTAATGCCTGGCACACACTTTTAGCTCTGGTGTTGCTTAAAGCTACTGCTTCCGGCCATCAGGTGACAACATCCATGAAAGTCAATATGTACTGCTTTCCTCTGGGTGTCTTTTTTGGAAAAGGACCCAGAATATCCACAGCTACTCGCTGAAATGGAACCTCAATTATGGGGAGTGGCTGGAGAGGGGCTTTGACCTGGTCTTGGGGTTTTCCCACTCTTTGGCACACCTCAAAAGACCAGACATAGGCCTGCTTGATGATTTTCGGGGCAAGTTTGAAGACTTGCAGAAGTTGAGATTCTGCTTAGCCTTTCTTATAAACCCATTCATGCTTGATGTGATCAGCAATGGCTGTCCGATTCCCAAAACCGTGGTTACAGAAAGATCTACTGTAGAAATGGAACTATTGGAACTCAAGGAGGATGAGGCTGTCAAGGTGATGTATAAATCACAGTCTGCAATCAAG